AGTCTTTTGCTGGGCCAGGCCTTGCATAGCCGACTACACGATCACACAGGCGGCCCTGCTTCTGGATGCCCTGGCTCGTTGCAGCAGCGGCAGCGTGACTCTCGGCTCGGGAGGACCTGGCAAACCTCAGCGTCATTAAGACAATTGAGAGTGCTTTTCGTTGCTCGAAGAAAGCCGATCGAGAAATAACGGAGTGCATTCTCCAATCAGTGTGGTGACACGCTGGAGTCCTGGTGACGGCACGAAGCACGGCAAGTCGGTGTCCACATCAGGATCCGCAGCTCTCATTTTGTTGGGTTTGCATTCCGGACGATAATCGAGTTCAGGCCACACTTCGGTGCGCGACCCGTCCCCCGCAAAAGCCGATTTCGTTCTAAGGTCCAATACTTTGGGGCAATTGTGATCTTCAGAGCACTCGAGGTGTCTGAAGTCCGACTGGTAGCACCGCCATACTATTCTGCCTCTCGGGCTCTGGGGTCGCGCCGTTACGTAATGCCCTTAAAACTCCCAATGTGACTCAAGTCCCGGCAATGCGACACTATTCCCCCTGTGGGCTTCGCGCTGTGCCATCGGGCTAACCGCCTTAGGTCTTAGGGTCATGCAGCGGTGTTGGAACGTTCTCCGGACGTGGTTCTGGTGCTCCGCGGCTGTGTCTTGCGGGCTGACCATGCTGAAACCCTTGCATGCTCGCCAGCTTAGGACGGCGCAGTTAGCCCCCGACCTCTTTCGCAGCTTCAAGCGGCTCTGGCTGTCGCAGGGGCACCTTCAGGAGCAGAAGTCCGTGCCTTTGACGGCGTGTAAGTCTGGCATGCTGACAGCACACGCAGGAGCTGGCGGGCCCAGAGGATGCTCGGACTCATAAAGCTCAGTCTGATCTGGGTGAGCGCATAGATCTGTTGTTGTTCGTGTGGCACACAACTGTTTTGCGGCCCCGTCGCTGAATCACCCCAATAACTTGGAGGGACTTCGTCGAGGGTTGGCGTTCTTCATGCCTTCGCACTCCGGATCCCACTTGTCGCCTGCCGACATGGGCATTTGCAAGACGGACGCGTCTAAGGACCTAGCACACCTGGCAAGCTCTGCTGTGAAGCTCGGCATCGTCCAGGCTGGAGATTCAGGTTCGAGTGCCGCAGAGAGAGCCTGCAGCCTCGAATCTCCGTTTTGACGACAGGAGGAGCAATTCAACCTAGCGTTGGCTTCTGCTGGCCTTCAGCACGTTGGCCAATTCTCCCCTTCGCAGCTGGCTTTATTTTGCAGCAATCTGGCCCGGCTGCCTTCAGCTGGCCGTGCTGCGTTTCTGGCTGTCGCTGCCCTCCAGGCCCGGTGTTGCAGAGTTGAGGCCAGCTATCGCCCGCTCTGACCTTACGGTTGCAGGTGCAGCGGACCTTGCGCTTCAGCTCCTTCGTGGACCTGGGCCTGCTTTCGCAAGCTTTCGGCAGCAGCAGCATCACGCTCACTCGCGAGGCATCCGAGCTGTACCTGCAAAGGCTTTCCGTTGTTTCCAAAGAGGAGCTTGCGAATCTGGCGCAAGGGCCAGGATCCGGATCCGATCTGGTGAACAGCTTGGCAGCAGCACTGGAACGCGTGGCCGAAGGTTCTCTCCAGCTGCTGAGTCCGAGCGTCGACGGGGAGTTGCTCCTTGCATCCATTCGGCCATTGACTCTGGAACTCTGTGCTCGGAGAGCTGTGCGTCCGCGGACAGCTGCTGCAGTGCTGGGCCAGCATGCCCACTTCTCCGTACGAGACCAAGAGCTCTTCGAGGCCTTGGAGGATGAAGAGCATAGCTCTTCCGACATTAGTGCAACGCTTGCCGGAAGACTCCTGAGACCTCTTGGTGCTCTTGGACATCCCTCCGAGCACTTTCTGCAGAGCGTCGACAAGAGCTTGTCGATTTGGGGAAAGCGCCGCTTGGCCCGCCTTTGTGTTCTTCTGGCAGCAATTGGGCTGTGCAGCCTTGGGTCGTGCTCTTCTCAGGACTTTCAGCCACGATCCAAAGCGATTCTGGTGTCCCAAATGTGGTTTTCGAGCCATGGACCCGTTCGACGAGGTGGGGCAAGGGAAGTGCTGATTGAGAGGGCTGCATTCAGAAGCCCCTGGCTTGGATGGAGGGCTTCTACCTTGCTTGCAGGCATTTCAGGCTCGGTGCATGCTATGCCTCAGAAGCTGGAGCTTTGCAAGCGGCGCTTGACAGAGGTCACTACCAGCGCTGGCAGCTGACCTTTTTGCAGCAGCTTTGCTTGACTTCGCCTTTCTGTCGGAAGTGTCCGTCACATACCTCTTCTCTGCAGCGAAGACGCAGTGTCAACTGAACTTGCCCGCGGACTCTGCACTTCGAATGAAGTGCGCTGGCGAGATTGCTGCTGCTTCCCAAGTCTGGCTCCAGCACGTCCCGAGCTAAGCTATGCGGCTATGCCAACTAAGGCGTGCCACGCTGTGACGGTGTAAGTAGGACCCTGGCTGTTTCGAGCTCCAGCCGAAAATTAAAGGGTGTCCCCCAGCAGCCGCAGCCAGCGATTGTGGCGGCGGGTAATTCCGGAAGGAGGATTCGGAGACTTCGAGGGCTTGCTCGATCGTTGTATCTGTGGTTCCGTCCAAGGTCGCGGGCCATCCAGAAGCCTGCTGGCTGGCGGACTGGGCAGAAGAGGCCGCTCTGGAACAAAGTGTCATGACATGTGCGGAAGATGCTGTGCAGGTCTTCTCGACGGGTGGCCCGCAGCACAACCTTGCTCCGCAGCCAAGTTCAGCTTTGCTCCGCTCCGTCTTCGCAGCGCTGCAGAGAGCTCAGGACAGCTTAAGCCCTGAGCGAGACCTCGTACAGACGCTTATGTATGTTATGTTACTTATGTTCATGGTCGACACAGTTCCGTAAAAGCAGCAAATTGGCAGACATATTGCAAAAGGATTTCGGTGAGTGCCGTGCCTTGTGCAACAGTGTAGGAGCCGGGCGATAAGATTCTGGTCGCGTGGCCAATGCATGGCTTTCGTGCAGACCTCGCACTTCGGAGGCTTGGAATCCGGCTCCCGAGCGTTTTATAACACAAGGCTTTTGGTGTCACAGGCCTGGTGCAAGGACGATGGCCATCGAAGTCTGCAGCAAGGAATGCGGCGTGCCCAGGCACTCGTACAGCCGAGGAGTGAAGACACAAAGAGTCGTCTGAGGCTTTCATTCTGGGAGCCAGCGGTTACTCGCTCGCTCTGCGATGAAGCATCGGGTGCTCACGGCTGCCCTTGGTGCCCCACCCGTACAGGCAGGGACATACCAGAGTCTCCTGTAATGGCATTTGGCGGGTCATTGGTTACCGATGTGTGAAAAGCAGCTTGAAGCTCTTCTTGTGGGTAGAGTTTGGTAGACCTTCTTGACGAAAGTGGTCTGGACGGTTTTGGGGTGTGTGGGGGGGCCTACTCGCATTGTATTTACAGTTCCGAGCAGCGTTCATGATTTTGAGTTCGCCGAACTCGAAGAAGTGTACCTAGCAGCACTCGGCGCTTTCGAGCAATTGGCACATTGGGCGGGTGTGTGTGTGTGAGAGAGAGAGGTTAGGGGAGCAATCCCCTGGCCCATAACCCTGACGAAAGAAAGAGAGAGAGAGAGAGATGGGGCCACAGAGCCGGTGTGAGCCTTAGTCTGGAACTTGCGAGAGGCCGGGGGTTATTTAGTTAATAGAGGGGGGTTTTCACAGTTGTGAACCTCTCGGCCTCAGCGTGTAGTCTTCGAGTCGGACCAGAGACCACCAGGGCGCGTGCGCGCGCAGGGAGGGGTGCATTCGTGCCTCTCTCTAGTCTGTGTTGAAGAAGAGAGATGGGGGGCCTAGCAAGCAAGCAAGCAAGATGGGGGGCCCTACGGGCCCGGGGGTTTCACACGCCCTTCATGCCCCATGGCCTATGGAGGAAGAAGGAAGAGAGAGAGAGGACAAGGCCGAGTCCCTGCAAGAGCAGCCAAAACAGACCACTTCGAAAGCCAGACACCTTGCGTCACATTGCCTTCTTCGTCTACAGCACGATCAACCGGAAGCCCACCGACGAGCTCTGCATAGCTCTACTACCGGGGACTCGCGAGACCGCTACGAAAGCCAGACGCCTTCTGTCACCTTGCCGTCTCGTCTACCGCACGATCAACGAGCTCTACTACCGGGAACTCGCAAAAGAGACCTTCCACAACCAGCCTAACGATGAGGACAAGTACACGGCCGGGGAAGCACACGAAGAGCCCCCGTCCCCAACCACCGGAGACAAAGCGAAAAAACAACTCCGACTACTGATCCCGCTCCCTCGCCTTCGGCACGATCAACCAGCAGTATGCCTACGAACCCTACTACCAGGACACTCAAGTTGCCAGCACAGCAGACGGAACAAAAGCCAGCGAACAAGTTGACCAAGCAGAAGGCCACCACCACGCAACCGCCCAACCGTCCGTCGGAGCCCCCAACGAGTAGCGACAGCAGCTCAACTACCTCCAGCAGTTCCAGCGGGGAGGGCGTCACCGTCGCCGCCTCGTCTGAGCCGATACCACAAAACCCCGCCTCTACGTCAATGGCATCGGGGAAGACGGGGGCAGGATGACTTCGACAACGATGCGGCCTTCCATGAAATCATGGAATGGACCAAACCCTCACAACCAAGGCGAAGAAGAAGATGAGGAAGCCGAAGAAGGGCAAACAGGAACGCGCCGGAGCCACCACTGAGCCAACACCGCAACCCGAGAGCATCCGGCCGCAACCAGCCCGTGCTGTGTGAGGCCGAGCCACAACACAAGAGCGCAGCACCGAGACCACAAAGCCACCAGCAACCCGAGATGGAGCACCAGCAACGACCGGGGAGACCGGCGCCCAGCAACGACTTCCACACCTCACGACAAGCTCGACAAGGCATCCTCCTGGGGCGGAAGCAGGCGCTGCCCCAGCTATCCCAGACATGCGAGCAGCAGCCACCGCAAGCCAGCCCTGGGCAGAAAAAACCCAGCGAGGCAGCACTACGACGGGCGCGGTGACAAAACCAGTGCAGCAGACCAGGAACCGCCACCTTCGGGGCCGTATCCACACTTCGACATCTTCAACCAGGACGATATAACTCAGTTCCTCCTGCACACCGAGCCCCAGTACCAGTTCGCAGAGGGGCAACCGAGCAATGAAGGAAATGGCGACGGGGACACAAAGCACCACTGAAGACACTCACAGCATCACCGACTTCCTCGACACGATCCAGCCCCTGCCCAACGACGAGTCCTACTACCAGACCGCAGAAATGCATTCGTCATACAGGGGAACAGGAGCACATGACCAAAGCCCAGGACGACGCAGAAGCTAGGCAGGGAGCGCCACCGCTGGAGACCCTGTCCTACAACGACGCCAACCACCTCGGCACGATCCAGCCCCGGCCGATCAGCGTGCCCTACGACCAGACCACAGTGTACGACGACGACAAAGTGCCGGGGGGGGTGAGTCCAACCGTGACGCGAGCGAACACGCGACGACCCGGGACAACCTGCAGAGCCAGACCTCGACGCCTGTAACAACCCGAGGCCACTGCACCTTTGCGAGCTACCTCTCGGGACACCGAGTGTTGGCGACATCAACGAAACCAAGAGGACCGTGCAAAGTGGCGATCGCAGCGCAGGGGGAGGGGAGCATGTTTTCCTTGACCAGCAAGCAAGCAAGAGACACAACGCTTGCGAAAGAAAGAGAGAGAACTCGAGGCTTTGTCAGGTGCTGTTGGGGCGCTGCCGCTGTCAGTAGCACGTGCAAATACAGGGCACAACTTCATGTGTCACCGCTCGGGAAGGTGAGCTATTGGGAGTGGCCATGGCAGCAAGACGACCAAGTGAAGTTCCTGAGAAGTCGGTGTGAGAGTGTGTGGAGTCAAGGCACGAAAGATTGCAAAGACAAACATCTGTTGCTGAAGCCATGAGTCAGTCCGTGATCACATTTGCCACATGGTGCAAGCCTCGCCATGTTTTGCGATGCATGCCAGTTTGATGCTGAGCGGGGTGCATGTCTCCACTGATAATGTAGTTGTGTGTTGCAAGCAGCGATGGGAGCCAGAACTACGAAGTCTCACAACATATTTCTCGACTCCAGTTCCGATGTGGATGAGGAGGCGAGTCAGGACTCAGCACGCTGCTTTGTGGGTGCGGAATATCAACGGATACTGCAGCCGTTGGGCCTGACAACACAAAAAGCTGAACGACGCAGAGACGAGTTGCGCCAGCTGGCGATGAGATACGAAGTGGAATGCCTGGGAGCTTCCAGTTATGAAAGATTGCAGGTGCTCCGCGACTGCATGCAGAAAAAGCAGGTACATCGGCAGATCCTGAGCACAGCCATGACAGCACACGGTGGTCCGACAGCTCGTCTGGATGCCCAAGTAGAGCTGCTGGAAGCGGAACGCCTGATGAAGCAGACGAAGCAGGAACTGGAACAATCTGGCTTCTGGTGCCTAGTGCCCGCAGATCCAGAAGAAGTGTTGGTGGAACGGCAGATTCGCGACATTCAACGCTGGGAGCGTGCCTTCGACGATTGGGTGCACACGTTGAATGGACTGACCCCCAAACTTTTCGTTGAAATTGTGACTCTTCTTCGCATCGAATACAACCAGGAGAATCTAAACCGCTTCTTGCGAAGCTTGAGCCTGGAGTTGACTTGGAACAGAGTGGAGGCACGCATCCAGGAAATGTTCAGCTGGAAGGACCCTAAGAGGCATCTCAGCCCGTGGGAGCTCTTCAAGCCTCAGGAGCGCAACTTTTGCGTTATAGGCTGCGAGAACGGAAGGGAACTAGACAGGTTCGATGAGAGCATTAGCCAGAAGAAGTTTCCGGAAGGAGGGAACTGCTACCAAGTGCTGAGGGAGTTTGCCAGCAAAACGTTTGGTGGGCAGCATGCCTTGATTTTCGAGGCCACTTACAGCATCTCACCGGCAGTGCAGCTGTTTGAGCTTTCAGATATGGATCTCACACTCACGCTCAAGGCGCTTGTAGATGCTGGGCAAGGCAGCCAGTGCTTCAACACGGTCTTGGGCAAAGCGATCGTGCGGGAGTCTCTGCGAAGAACTATTGGCTTCCGACTCCTGGACGGCTTTGTGGATGTATTGATAGTGATCTTGTTGGCACATTTGGGATACAAAGTGCAAATCCAGCAGAAGCCCGAAACGAGAACGCTGTGGAGCTTCGGCGCTCTCGGCATTTGGGTTTGCATTGCATGCTTAGGCAGGGTTCTCTCTGGGCTACGGTTATTTTGGGACTCGGCGCATCCATGCTCAAGCTTCCTCGCAGCAATCGCGAAGCATCTCACCTTGTGGAATTCCTTGATCACGCTGTCGGAGCTGTTCTCGGTGTATGTGGGCATGCGGTTTCTTAGTTGCCTAAACGACCCGGACTTAGTTGGCTTTGACTTCTTCCAGGCTCATCCTGTAATGATCTCAGCCCTCGTCTTGATACGATGGACATTGCTGGCCATTGACTTCTTCCAATTCGAAGAGATCGGTCGCCGCGTGGTTCCCATTGTTCACGCGGCCAGCCGGCCAGCCTCCGTCTACTTCCTTTTCTTCTTGGCACTGATGTTGGCTGGATCTTTTCAGGCATACCGTGTATTCCCAATAGAGGAGAACATCGGCGGAGCCAACAAGGTTCTAGACACGTTCCTCAAAATCTTCCGCCTCGAAGTTCTGGGTGACTTCGACCTGAACGAGCTGGAGGGTATCAATGACAAGCTGACTGGCAGGGTGGAAACGAGCAATGGGACCATTCATGGCGATGTCGACGCCGACCCGTCTGATTGGAGTGACAAGTACCACCGGGGAGTGAGGTTCGAATTCATGGCGTTGAGCCTCGGGGTGACAGTCGTCGTGATGAATGTCTACATTGGTTTACTGGGCAGTCTCTATGATAATGCCACGAAGAGGAAGAATCAGCTGTATGCACATTATCTCGCAAGCTGCTGCTACCGACACCTCTGCTTGAGGCTTCTGCTATGGCAGCTTTGCTGCTGGGGAGCACCTTGTGCCGCTTGTCACGAAGATGCTGAGGATGAGGGTGCTGGCGAAAGATTGTACTGGCTGGCGTATGAGAAGGCAGGCGGCCAAGTGTGAAGTGCTCACAGCGTCTGAAGCATCTTTGCCCCTGCCCCTCAGCTGGCTCCAATTCAAAGCAAGAGCCCTGGCAGGACACCCTGCTGGACGGCAATGACGACTGATTGCAGTGTGTGTAAGTTGATTTGGCTAACGATATGCTAATGACGCACCCAGACTTAGGCCCGTGCAAAGACATGTGGGCCACATTGGTTTGTATCTTCTGCTCTCGTGCTCTCGGAAGTGCAGTGTGCCATGTCAGAGCTTTCTTGCTCAGTGCAAACCTTCAGAAGGTTCATTGCTTTGCTCAAGCCTCCAAGATGAGAAATGGAATCAAGCTGACGTCGACCGCAGCCTCAACTTGCATGTTGCCCCAGTGCCCGCGAATAGCGGACTGAATTGCCGTGTCCTGCCAAGTACATGCAAGGTAGGGCAGGCAAGGAGGATATAGCATTGCAGTTCATCAATTCGGTTCATCAGTCCACGTAGCAGTGTTCACAATTGGAGTGTCATGGTGCGGACCGATGAAGCCAGAAGCACACCTCCACGCGGCAGCGTGGGGCTTAGATCACACCGGATGGGCCTAGGCCTAGATTAGAGGAAATCATAAGCCGAGCAGAGGTGTGGATCTTGCCCATCTGGACGAGACTGTGGAACCGGTTGCTGTGGCCTCAGTGTCACATGGGGTTTTCTGCATCAATCCCGGTACACCGACTTGAAGCAGACCACTCTGTATCTCTAGTTTGCATTTGGCGCGTGTTACGTTGAGGACTATGCAAAGATGCTGGAAGAAGCTGCCGAAGCTCCAAGTGCCTGCGCCTGTCTGTTTCTGTTGAAACTCAGTTTGCTGTTTGCCTCGACTCGAGTTGCTATCTGCTAACATCATGTACTCATTGCTGGGAAATACCTCTTCTCACGGGTTATCCCTTATTTCTACCAATGCGTCTCAGCAGGTATTCCACCGCTTCCCGGTGGCATCACACAGAGCCTCGTACTTAGAAACTTGACCTGACGGGGCAAGCATGACAACACGGTCCAGCCAGCTGGGTAACTTCAGGGTTCAGGGCCAATGAACACAAGTCACGGTTAAAAGTTTAAAAAGTGTGCTGACAGTTTTTCGGAGGGCAGGATCTCACAAATTCAAATCTCAGCAGCAGTCAACCGAAGTGTGTTGCGGATTCCTCTTTGGCCAGAGGTGAGCATGAAGTGCAGATGGCGAACCTGGAGGTGTTTGGGCTAGTTCCTGCGTTCTGTCGGGATGCCGAACTCTTGTCGCCATGTGACTCGTGCCCTCTACGTGTGTAGGGTTCAAGGCTGTGCCCGCTTACGTCGGGCAGCAGGACATCACAGACACAGAGCTGCCATGTTACATTTCAGAGCTCCAAATGCCGGCAAGAGAGGTTTCAAGACCTTTCAAAGGGACAAGAATGTGCTCGTGGTGGAATGTTTTTTTCTTGCAGGTCCGCTTGCGTCAGTCCATGGCTCAGACTTCGAAACCAGAATTTGCTTATCTTCCGGGCATCATGCCCTCGCCTTTTTTGCCACGGTTCCCAAGAGTGCCAGCATGGGCTGGATGTGGTTGGACCCAGGCACTGTTTGGACCTCATTGGGCCAACTGTTCGGAGAGCAGCTGCCAGGGGCTGAGGCTAAGCTTTCTGCAGTTCAAGCGATTCTGCGCGCCATTTGATCGGAGCAGTGAGGCCTTCGAGCATGACGTCACGCAGGTGCAGGTGCATGTGCATGTGCACAGCCGCAGCACGGTGCTTCTCCGTGTTACATCCCGAATGAATATGCTCCGCAAGCGAAGGGCCGGAGATGATGTTAAGTACAGGACGACCTCCAGCTGAAGTCTGGACAGATCTCCGATCTGATGTCAGCATCCCCAGGAAGGTCTGCAGAGTGCTTGTGGTGCCATGCACCGCTTCAGTGCTTGTCGTGTGTCAGCCTCCAAAAAGAGCATGCCATCTGAGAACAGAGGTCACATGTACATGCAATCTAGATGTGACCCGCTAGCATCCACTTGACCTCAGCCACCTGGCAACCGCGATGGCTCAAGCGAGAGCAGAAAAGGACTTGACGTTGCCAGTGCGTTCTCGCACTGGTAGCGGAGCGGGTAAGCCGCTGACGCTCCGGGCGACCTAGCGAGCCCTTTCATGCTATGGCTGCAGGCACCTTGCTGGACAGCTTACGATATGCCCGCTTCATCCATGACCAGGATGAAGCCGGAGGAGCGGCCACCGAAGGCCGCCATGGAGTTCCCCGCTACAATGGCGATGCTTCAAGACTGAACGAATGGATGTTCAGAGTTAACATGCTTGCGGAGAAGGAGAAGTCGATCTCCGAGGCAGAAGCTAAGAAGCTTGGGAGCCTCCCCTTGAGGCTCGTGGAAGGATTGTCAGGACAGGCCCTGAAGATTGCCCAGCAACTGGACGTGAAGAAGCTTGCTGCAGAAGGTGGCACGGACTACTTGCTCGAGAAGATCTCTACGGAGCTCCGACCACGGAGAATGCAGCAGGCGAGAGAGCTTTACGAGGCAGGGGCACAGCAGGGCGGCATTCTTTCCCGGCAAGCCCCAGAGTCGATGGCACAATACATATTGCGCCGTCGAGCCTGGTACAGAGCCATGACCGACCTCAGCACGGACGTGAAACTTCCGGAATTGGTTCTGAGTGAACAGTTACTGCTGAACGCTGGACTGAATGAAGATCAAAGGCTTATGATCAGGACCGTGGTGGGCGAGAAGTTCACCTTTGACAGGGTGGCAGAGGAGTTGGTGAACCAACATCCTCGCATCCATGAGAAGACCTCACATGCCTGCCACCCTTTCCGGAAGAATGAGTTCAAGG